GACAGCCATAACATTATGATTTTTTACAAGTGTATGTACACTTTTGACCACAACTGTACCTAACCCTAACCTAATTCACATCTTCATCCTAAAAGGAACCCTTAACCCATAAACAGCACTTTTTATGGGGTCCAGACTTTGGGTGCTATAAACAGCTGTTGGTCCCCACAACATGGTGTGTGTTTGGAAAACTGTCCTTGTAATGCAGCAAATACAGGAACACATCCCCACACACGCACACACATAAACATTTTAATTCAAGTCTTTACAGAAACACTCTATCATGGGCTGTGGTTGTTTTTTGCCTCACCTCTCCTCATTTCTTCTTTCTTCTTGTTTTCCATCTTGGTGTACGTTGCATTGGGAATACACCCAAAGGAGTTTCCAAAAAGCTGTTTGTCATATATCTGACATCTTAAAGACTTGAATATTTATGGTTATGACATTACATTGTGCAGAAAAGTTCACGGGGCAAGAATATTTTTGCAAGGCACTGTACATAAACAGAAAAAGTCTATGAAGAAGCAAAAAAGGAGCACATTTCATTTTCCAGTTTTCAACTTGTCACCATCTACTTGGAGCAACATGTAACATCTTTTTTTTTTTTCCTTGATGGCACTTAAGAAAATATTTAGACTTTGTGGAGAGAACAACACACACAGAAGAACCTCTCAGCTTCCATTTTGTGAACATGAAAGAAACCTGCATAACTCGAGGTCACATTCAGTCCAAAGACACCCAAACACACAGACAGGCCTGGGCTGCCGAAAGCTACAGTGAAGTTAAGAATGACACACTGCTGGCATATGGAGTGTAGCTCTGAATTTAGAACAATCTGCTGAATGTCTCTTGAATATCGGCCCTTAATCCTGATTAATCTGTGGCTCCAGTTTCCTTTTCTGTCCGCACACAGCCTAGCACATTTCATTCATTCCTCACTCGCCTCGTCAGGCTCTCAAAGGTAGAGAAAAAAAAAAAAAAAGAAATCACCCTCCTCTTTTTCCCCTCAAACAGCCACACAGCGTTGTGCACACTCCCTTCCCGACACACTCACAGTTTGATGTTTTCTCCTAAGCGGCTTGTAGAAAAGACAGTTCTGCCTGTCTTTCCTCTGTGACTCACAGTTTCTGGGGGCAACAACCAGGCAATTCCAGAGTTGAGTGTGTCGCAAACGTGCATATGCAACCGCTTGTGTGTGCGCGGGTGTGTGTGTGTGTGTGTGTGGCCACTTTGAAACAAACTTTCTTGCCCTTGCTCATGCCAGAGCTTGTCCCCAATGCTGTCATACAGTGACTGCAAGGAAATATCAGCTTCTGTTCAACTCTGACACTAACCAAGATAAATGTCACACAATCACATGCTCTCACATGCGCTCGTGTGGCTCAGTGTTCATTGTTGCCTCTCAGTAGTCATGCCCAGGGGTTCAGATGCACATAAATAACTTATGTCATTCTAAAATATGAAATAAAGACAGCACATGCATGCTTATGCTATGTTGTTTGCACCCAATTGCCCAGAAGCTCTAAATGTCATTCCAGTACTCCAGACTTGCTTTGGAAGCAACTTGCATCTATTTACAGATAATTTATGCAACATTATGTGGGTGAACACCCAGAACTGTCTGGTTGCAAAGCAACAGTGAAAAAACTGCAACACAATGCAGGACCCTATTGATCATGTGCCAAAAAATGTTTGTGAAAACAATTAAACCAATCAGCAAATCTTTCATGTCTCGATCAATGGGCTATACCATGAGTACAGTTAACCCATTGGACAGAGGTATTCAATTCCAGGTTTGAAAGCCCAATGTCCTGCAATGTTTAGTTGTCTCTACATCAATAATGTGGTCACTAGTCAGACATGACTGAATACTGGAGTTGATTGAACCGTTTGATTCAGTTGCGCTGAAATAGTGTCACATCTAAAAGTTGCAATACCCCAACTCTCAAGGTCTGGATTTGGAGACTCATTGGCTTATTTTGCTCAAGCCAGTGCAAAATAATAAAAAAATTATAATAAAAGATTTTAGCTAAAATAACATCAGGTTCCCGTGTTTCCCATCAAACGCATGAAGCTGTTGCTGAGCTGCAGATCTTCTTCAGTAGCTGTATTTTCATAATTGTGCACTTTGACATTTCAAAAATAAATTTGTTTAATGGAAACAATAATTTTGAAAGGACTCATTTTTCAATAAAAAGTTTTGACTTTAGGATGAGGTGGATTTTTGGCCTTATCAAAATTGGTTTATTTTGCAAAACTGTGATGGAAAGACTTTTTTCGTATCACATGATGAGCAACCACAAACAAGAAAACAACAGGAAGTAGTTGGAGGATCATGGCACAGCGTGTTTTTTGATGACTTACCACTTGAACAAACTTACTACAGTGTGATTCTAATTGCTTTTTTATTTAATGGAAACAAAACAATTCCAAAATTGTTGTTTATTTTTACATTAGCAGAATTTTGTCATCAGCTAGTGACAGCAGTCTGTCACTAGCTGATGACAAAGGTGTGTTATCACAATTCTTTCCTCCCTTTGACTTTATAATTATCACTGCTCCCCAATAACTCAATGTTCAGACAACAGAAGTGTTTGCACCGTTTTTATTGCAAATAAAGTCTGTTGTTTTTTTAATGCAGAAACATCCACACATATTTTGTACATTTTCTAAATGATCCCACTCAGTTGCACATTTCTTTGGATAAAAATTGTACAATATTTTTTATAGCTGCATAGTATTTTAGGTTGTAATTTTTCCCTAAGCTATGCTTAATTCTGTTTTGATCTTTTATATTTTTATCTGTCTGTGAATCTATGTGCTTTCATTGCCTATTGTGTCCATCTATAAAGAACTGGATCATTTTTCAGCACTAACACAGCTGTGAGTAGATTTTTAAAGCTCTGCGTTGTTGTGATCCGCTCAGTGAAGCCTGTGAAGGGAAACAATGCGGCCTACTTATGCAGCTCTGCTTCTGTAGATCTATAGCTATTGAGTGCTCAGCAGAGGATATTCATCTCTCCGTGATTTCAAACAAAGAGGTGAGTTCCAGTTTCCTGACCTCTGACTCCTTAACTCAGACCTTCTGGCCAGTTGATTAATGACTTCCTGCTCCAGTGTTTTTGATGTGCTGTATTAGCAGAACTGCACTTTGCTGATGTGTGTGTCATGAACAACAATGTTGTTTTCCATTGTGAGCAGAGCAGCACATTTTAGCCCTCTCTTAAAACTCTAATAGAGAATTGAAAATCAATGATTTTTTTTAAGTGACTATTTCTAAATAAAGGACTGTCTGCGTCACCCTGCCTTTTTGTAAATTGTGATATTTTGCCCTTTCTTTGCTTGTTAGACTGAAGTCCTTTACAAAATATGCATAACACTTGTACTTTGTCACATGTTCACACATTACTACCGGAAAACATTTACAGACAATTTGGATGGAGATAATCTTACTACAGGTTCTTAAACAAATCAAGGTCATCTTGACTGAGCCTTTCTAACACATTAATATGTTTTGATGGACAATCTGTTGGCTTAAAGGGGCAATGTTATGTATTGTACAGACACAGTATGTGAATGAGTTTCTCCTTTAAAACCTCCTGCTCTTTCTGAAACTCAGTCTTCAGGAAGTCATCACTTCATGGCTCCTCTAGTAACCATTTAACGACATTTTTACCAGCATTTCACAAAGAAGTAGCTCCTATAGCTCAGCAGATGTGCAGTTCCACCAGGTGTTTGCTAACTGCTGCTAGCTTGTCTGTAGGAGCTAAGCAGGGGAGTGACAGGGGAGGGCTGCTCTGCCAGGCTTAAGCTTGAAAACTGTAGCTCAGAGGAGGAGCTGTCTCTTGAAGGCGGGGCTAAGTCCACCGAGATATTTTACACATATGAATGGTTGCTATGGATAGGATTACTCAAACATGAATGAAAGAGTCAAAGAAAGACTACAGGTATGCTTTTGATGAGGGAATAATATTAAAACTTGTTGTAAAGCTCAAAAGTCAAATGTACATGTTACTGTTCTTTTAAGGTCATCTTGCTCAAAGCTGAACCTCCACTTCAGTCTTAAGTCTTTTAAAGCCTCCAGCCGTTTCTTTTTTAAGGATTGCCATAGTACTGAGTTTCTTAAAAGTAGATAATCAGCTTTAGTATTTTCTTGGATGGATACTTTTGACTTTTACTTGCGTAACAGTGTGTTGAAATGGGAATGAATAGCATGGGCATTTGGCACCATCCAGATGACGATGTAGGACATTTAATAGAGGATGATGTTCTCTGAGTTCTGTCTTCTACTTTTCTTGGACTTTTTATGGTTTCTTGTCAACAATATTTTTTTTTCTTTTCCTGTCTGTCATAAACAGATTTGTGGAATGCACCATTAAATATTCCCTAAGCTGAGCCATGGATCTCTGCCTCTTCAGTTCATCTCTGCTAGATCTGCTTGTCAGTGTACATGGACGGTGCCCAATTGTTAGATAATTTAACTATAGAATCCTGTATTATTTTCTTCTAGTTCACAACTCTTTCATATTTTGTTTTGTTGTGTACATTAATGTTCATGGTCGTAAAGAACAGAGACTTAAATCTTTTTGGATGTGATGCTGTGCACTGTGAGAGGCATGGTTCTGATTTAAAGGCCCAGAACATTCCTCTGCTGTGTGCTGCTCCAGCCTGTACTCTATGTTTAATGACCCTTAATCAGAAATATAGATCTGAAGCTGAATAGAAAAGCTACTATATAGAGCTTTGTTGTGATTTTCAAGGGCTTATTGATTCGAAAATGTTGATTTTCACCATGGAAATTTTTTCTGTCTCCACTATCGAATTAGTTTAGAGGACAAAACAGGAAGTTAGACAATTCCACAATGTCTTACAGCCATATTAATGCATCACGTTACTCTTTGTGGTCACATCACCAGATTATTTCACAGTCTTATTAACTCTGCGTCCTAATCCAGACATCTCTTTCTTCCAGACCCTTTTCCTCTGTGACAGCTGCAGTGTTGTGGCCAATGGGAGGTTCAGTCAGCCCTCCAGCTCAAGGACATTTTGGCATGTTGAGAGGCCGAGATCGAACAACCATCCAGTTGGTAAACAACAGATCTATCATCTATGCAGGTGCAGCAGCCCTCTAACAGCCAACATGACCTCTGGGTTAGCACAATCCAGTGGTTCTGCTGTTTGTTTTCATATCTCTGGGTTGAAATAATTAGTTGGAAATATGATTGATTTGATTGTTCAAAGGGCTGTTGAAAACAAACAGTTTTTGTTGGGGGGTTTTTCCCATTAGGGGAGCCATATGATATTATAAACATTTTACAATAAAAAAAAACTTTTTACAATAAAAGAACACCCGAATAACATACGCACAAGCTGATAATCTTTGGTTTTCAAGTTCAGCTTCAGAAATTGGAATATTGTGCTTTTTTTCATATCAGAAAAAAGTTGGTTCAAAACGGGCCGAACAATAAAAACGTACGAAACATGTAATGGATGAAATGCTCAGTGCTATCACACAATAGCTAATTCAAGCATTATAAAAGGGCTTTCAGAAAACGTATGAGAAGTTAAAAGTTCTCTTTATACCTGAGAAATGAAGACTGATGATCCGTTGTGGTAGATAATCACATTAAAAGCTCATTTTTGACACTTTGCACCCAAGTCAGGTAGCCACAGAAATCTGGTTCTTATCAAAGTCACTACAGTCTGCACCCTACAGTTACTGAAGCATTCTGCATACGAAATAAGAGAGCCAACGTCATCTTAAACCTAACATACACAGATCGCAGTAGCATTAATATGTTGGTAGCTTAACTGTTTGAAATGGAAATGGTTTTGATTGAAGACATTCAGTGCACTTAAATCCTCACATTTACCTGAAACAAACACAAACAACACAACACTGACTTATCTGCCCATTATAAGGAACAAACCCAACAAAACACAGAGTACCAGCCTTGGTTCGACCAGAACAACTATTTTCCTCTATTATAGATTTTCTCTACTTTTGCTTTTTTCAGTTGCACATGAAATTTTAATTTTAGTGCAGAATCTGGGATCATTATCTTTGCAGTGGTACCAACATTATGAGAAATGTGAAGGGGAAAAAAGATCATATTTTTAAATTTCACCTGCAGTGATGTCAGAAAATGATCCGACTCTTTATATTTTTATTCAGCTTTTTCTTTTTCTTACTCTTCAGGCCCGTGAATGCTTCCTTATGAATATATGAATTTGACTGAACTGAATTGGGTCAAATGATTTATTCCTAAAATAATGACTTATCACTTTTGTGGAAATAAAATGACCTGGGTCATTATTTTAAAAATATGATGACATATTTCATAGAATTGTTTGTATGACTGCACATATCTAAATAATGCAACTTTTAATGCAGATGTGCATTCAAAGTTGAATTAAAAGGATCAACTTAACATTATTTAGTAAATATTGACATTTTTATGCAAAGTTGCATTAAAACTTACAGTAAGAGTCAATTAAAAGATTTAACTTTGCATTAAAAGTGACATTATTTACAGAATGACACTTCATGATAACAGTGATGAAGACTCCTTCACGTTCATAACAGATGTTATGTCATATGACACTGTCTTGTCAGTCTTATGCACATCCCTTCAGATAAAGTGTTACTGAAGTTTTTTGGTCACCGTTGGTGAAATTTCAAAGTCAAACTTGATTGAAATGAATCTTTCTTTCCCCCTCATATTCATTCTGATGTTGGCACTAGAACTACATGATTTCACTTGGAATAGAACCTGTTCACCAGGTTGCTCTCACCTACCTCCAGTGAATCAATGCATTCGTGTGAAGTCAACAACAATGAACGCTAACTCCGTAACGAGCCAGAAGCAGCAGGAGAAGGTAATATCCTGGTCCGTGATTCAGAGCGAGACACAGGAGGGGCCCACTGAGGGGGGTCCCGACTTTGCAGGTGTGGAACAATATGAGTGGAAGGCAAGGACAGATGGGGCCTTTCATTTCCTGCAGCTCCTGTAAACTGAAGCCATTTAGCGAACACAGTCTGTCCCATTAATTTTCATGTTTTATGTTTTTGGAGGATATTACCTGGAGGTAATGTGGTGACTGAACGCATGATGTTAGCTTTTCATAGGTTTAAATGTTTCCAATTTAAGATAAATAAAAATAATTTAATGATAAAATAAGGCATGGTGCATCACATATAGAACACAGAGTATTCTATATGTGATATACATCAAACATGCTTTTTTCTTGAGTTATCCTGAATTTATTTACTTATTTATAAACAACAAAGTGTATTATATA